CCCGGCTCTGGCGGGGACGAGCCGTCAAACAAAGCGAGCAAAGTAGTTGAAGGCACAACTTTGGGATCCCGACCCTCCCCCCCCCCGCGTAACCTGGCAGTCACTCCCCCTCGCAGTCCCCATGCCCCTTGCCACCTCTCAACTCCCTGCCAAACTTCAGCCACCTGCTGGGGACGTGTGTGAGAGCCCAGTCGGGACAACTTCCCTCCCACGCCCCCCCCAAAGAAAAGCCATTTCTTTCTGAGCATCTCCGAGCAGGTCCCAGCGTACTGTTTCCTCTCCAAGCTGGAAATGCCAAGCTCCTGACTCTCAGTGCCCAGGGAAAGCCTCCTCCCCGCCCCGCTTCCCCTTAGCCCTGCTCATAGGACAGATGCTTTTCTTGGTGGGGTGGGGGGGATAATACAAGCAGTCGCGATCGGATGTCCAGCCCCGAGTTAACTACAGCCCCTGGCTCGCTGGAGCAGGTTCCTAAACCGCTTAAGCCAGCCCCATGCTTGGGAGCAATGAACATCGCAAACAATGAATGCCTGGCTGAGCAACTTTGGGAGACCCGAGCTCCCAAGTCGCCCAAACACAAGGGATCAAGAGAAGGAAAGAGAAAAAAAAAAGCCTTGGGTCAGTGAACCGGCTGTCCTGAGCCCACCAGCCCCGTCCCCAAATCCCCACGTCCCAGCACAGAAGCAGACACATGTGTCCCGTCCCCCCCCAGCCCCGATCGTCCCTTACCTCGCATGATGTTGGCGGCTCCCTATGCAGCGCAGTCATGAAGCTATCAGCACGGACCTTGTATCACAAAAATCCCCTCTCAGCACGAGTGAAGGCTGCAGCCGGAGTAGATCTGCTCTGCTGGGAAAATCATTCCTCCAAGGTGGCTGTTCTTAATGGATCGGATGTGTCGGATGGAAAAGGACAGGAAAAGGGGGGAAAGGTTCTCGGAAGGTCTCTTTATCCGCCTCCCCCCTCACCTTAACCTCCCCTCTCTCCCCTTCGCTATGTATTTGCTTTTAAAGATCACCACCGGCTCTCAGAGATTTCTTTTGTGATCACTTGGAGAAGGAGTGGTGGTGG